GCTTTACTGCATATACAGACTGATTTTACTGTTGTGGGTTTAGTAACACTTTAAAGTATAGCTAAAGCCAAGATATATGGACTCCAGAACAACAAATATAACCTCTTTAAAGACTCAGCGGATCTCCCATAAGTATAACTTTAGAAACAATACAAACCCTGTATACTCACTAGATGAATATATTATTGGACAGAAAAGTTTTAAAACACCACGGTAATATAAAATGCCCACTAAAAATCTGGACTGTGTCAATGTCACAAAGAGAGTAATTGTTTGCACCTCCGCGAAAGCCTCTGTGGTTATACAAGGAATCCTTCCTACATCTGTTTGTCTCTAGATGTCAGCTCACTTTATACATCAAATTCCCTATTGTAGGTCTCTGTGCCATATCTACACTACAAGCAAGCACAGCTCCTTTTGGAAGGCACCACATTTTGGTAAGAACATAATGATTTCACATTTAACACTGAATATTACCTCCAAACCAAAGACACTGATATGGGTGCAAGTTCTGTACCCAGTTATGTGATCCTAACTATTGGGAGAACCTCTCTATTTGGAATAATAACCCTTTTGCCCACAATATATTTGGGGGGGGTGGGGGGTATCATTGTTCGTGGACTACTCTGATAACAATGACCCTGGTCTCCCCCTTTAAACATGTGATTCCACCTCTCTATAATTCCTGGACTTAGAGTTCAGCTTTAGGGCCGGTTCACACCTTTGAAACGCAGTCCAGATGTGTTCCAGATGCATTTCCACATGAAAACTTTTTGACACATTTTGGGTGTGTTCCAATGCATTTTTGATGCGTTCCAGTGCGTCTTTGATGCTTTCCGATTCATTTTTCCCCTCTTTTTTCTTCAATTTAAATAGGGACATGTGCGTTACACTGTGTTTTTGGTGCATGCTGGTGTGTTTTTGATGTGTTTTACCCCATTCCAATACAGTTCTGTGCAGGAAAAATGCAGCCTGTTCTACTTTTTTTTCTGCAAGCAGAACACACTGGAACTGCAAGCACTGATGAACTATGACATTGACAACCGTATAACTTACTTTCTGTGCGTTTTTGGATGCAGAAAAAGAGCAACTGAAACGCGTGTAGTGTGAACTGGCCCTTAAAGAGTAACTCCACGTTTGTTGAGAAAAAACATTCCCCTCTTGGTGATCTATGTATATCACAGGGATCTGACCAAACTTTGTTGCAGATTCCTACCTTTAGTTATTCTGAAGAAGTGACTGTTTGTTTGTCTGTGTCCATGTGCAGAGTGAATCTGTATGGGAGTGATTTTATAATTATCAATCAGCTGCTGCACCTGCAGGGCTCTAATGAGGAAAGTAGCAGGGTCTGCATCCCTAGATAATTATATTTTTGTTGCAGGGGATGCTCAAAATCTGATTTGTATCTTAGTGCAGACTTCTAGGAAAATCAGTGAGCCAATCACACAAGCAGTAAGTGACATTTCTGGGGGGGCATTCTGTATACCATTAGAGTACAGGACACCTCCAGGTAGCCATATTGCATTGCATTTTATAGAAAATTGCAGCACTTCAGACTGAAAAGGAAAGGTACTTTTTCATAACAATCAATTACAATATGATTGTTTAGCAGTTGTATATCCTATATTAATGTTTTTATTTGTTATTTTTTTCCCCACACATATAAAGTTACCCTTTTAAGGATGATCTCATTTTATAAAAAAAAATTTTAAACCCACAACAGGGAATTCATGTTTACACTCTCATAGTTGCATCACCCCATATGGATCAAAAATACCTAAGCCCTGGTTCACACCAGTTCGGCTTTGGTTTCCAAGCTGATGATCAGTGCGATTTTAATTTGCAATTTCATTGAGGCTTGCGACTTCATTTAACCCAAGTCAATGCAAATCAAAATGAAATCACACAAGAGTAGTGCAGGAACCTTTTTCAAATTTGCATAGTAAATATTGTGTGACTTGTAATGTGATTTTGAACTGTCAAATGGCATGACAAATGGTGTGAAGCAGGGCAAATGCAGGCCACACAGGGGTCAAATTCCGAATTAATTTTCTTTAGAAAATCAGAAATTTCTTGAGTTTTGTAATACAATGATGCCACCAATGATTTCGAAGTTCAACCAACCAAGCCTTTAATTTCACCTCATGTTACTACAGAAAAATTTTTTTGTGGCCAAGAATTTTCTTTTCTTTCCAGGTCACAGTTCATGCTCATTTCTTCTTCAATTACATTTCTCACACGATTCTCCCATCATTGATTAGAAATTGTTAGTTTTTAAAAAAATTTCCAAAATGCCCGATCACTCAAATTGGATGGCTGCTCAAAAATTGGCTATTGCTGTGGCCCACTAATGGTGCGAAATTCAAATGAAAATTCTCAGAAAAGATTTTTGAAAAAAATTCTTTTGGAATTCAATCCTTGTGTCTTTCAAGCATTTTTGCATTAAAAAAAAAGCACCTGAAAAGCATAAGCAAAAGGTCTTCCCTATGTATGTGAATGTATTTCTATGTATGTATGTTTTCACACTGAGGTGTTGTGCTTGCGGTGCGGTGTAAAAACTCCTGCTTGCAGCATCTTTGGGGCATGTTTGGTGAGTTAAAAAAAAAAAGCCCCAAAAACACCTCTTCCTATTGAAATCAATGGAAAACGCCTCAAAAACGCCTCTGAGAAGCGTTTTTGGTGCATTTTTAAGTCACATGTCCTTTAAAAAATGTTGTAAAAACCGCCTATGCGTTTTTGAGGCATTTTTGCATTGGATCAGTGAGAAAGTAGCCCCTGGTCACATCTGGTGCAATTTGGCATGTGATTTGCATGCCAGGTGACTTGCAAATCGTATGCAAATTTTCACCCTATTGTCTGCTATTAGCGCGGTCATATCAGTGAGGTTCTGACTGGTCGGAGCCGCATCGATTTCTAAAGTATTACATGCACTACTTTTGTTGCGATTTGCATAGACATCAGTGTCAGATGTCTTGCAAATCGCAATGAAATCGGCATGTCATCTGATTTTGAAATGTAAATCACACGATTTCAAAATCGGCTTTGATGTGACCGGAGTGTCGGTCAGTTTTGTAGATTGACAAAAAAAAAACTGCACTCTTGAGGATGACTACTTATCTCAAAGCAACATTCTTAAAGCTAAGTTTTTAGAAAATGGCTACACTCAGGAAATACTGGAGGAAACATATCGTAGTTGTTTGGTACCTTCATCAGGCAGAATAGTAAAGAGGCGGAGACTCCATCAGATATTAAAGGATAAGTTCACCATTGTAAACGTTTGATACAAGCCGACCTCAATGCACTGTTTAATTGGGCAACTATGTGGCAAATGAGGTTTAATGTAGATAAATGTAATGTTCTGCACTTGGGGGCTAAGAATATGCATGCATCATACATACTAGGGGGGGTACAACTGGGGGAATCAATGGTGGAGAAGGATCTGGGAGTTCTGGTAGATCACAAGCTTAATAATGGCATGCAATGCCAAGCTGCAGTTTCTAAAGCGAGCAAAATCCTCTCTTGTATTAAAAGAGGTATAGACTCCAGAGAGAGAGATATCATATTACCCCGGTACAAATCATTAGTAAGACCTTATCTGGAATATGCAGTTCAGTTTTGGGCACCAATTCACAAAAAGAACATTGGGGAACTGGAGAAAGTACAGAGAAGGGCAACCAAACTGATAAGAGGCATTGAGGAGCTCAGCTATGAGGAAAGATTAGAGGAACTGAATGTATTCTCTCTTGAGAAGAGGAGATTAAGGGGGATATGATCAACATGTATAAATACATCAGTGGTTCATATAGTGAACTCGGTGTAGAACTATTCACCCTGAGGTCATCACAGAGGACAAGGGGGCACTCTTTACGTCTGGAAGAAAAGAAATGTAATCTCCAAACACGGAAAGATTTCTTCACAGTAAGAGCTGTGAAAATGCGGAATAGACTCCCTCAAGAGTTGGTTCTGGCCAGCTCAGTGGATTGCTTTAAAAAAGTCCTGGATTCTTTCTTAGATACACAGAATATAACTGCATACTAACATTTATAGGTAAAGTTGATCCAGGGAATATCCGATTGCCTCTCAGGGGATCAGGAAGGAAAAAAAGCATTTCTGGTGCCTTTTTTGAATTACATGTCCATTTTTCATAGGTGCAGGTAATCAGAAAACGCACCAGAAATGCATCAAAAACGGTGTTTTTGCAATGTAGCCCTGCAGTGTGAAAGCAGCCTATAAACGCACCGCCCCTGCAGCATACTGATGTGAAGCGTTCCACAGGATTTAAAGGAATACATTTTTCTTACGCTTTTTTTTTTTACCCCAAAAATGAATAAAAAACAAATCGCTGTGAAAAAAGAGCTCCAAATGTCAGCAAAAAAAGAAAAGAGCCCAGAAAAGATCCCAGTTCAGTGCATGCAGAGTTCCTGCCTCCTTCCGGACAGGTCCTCCTAGTCACATGGCTGCACTGTATGAACTCCATCTTCAATGCTCGCTGTATTCGGCCAACCCCTAGGTGGTGCTGTGGGATAAGAGCCGCAAGAAACCACTGTCCTGTAAATGGCAACGCCAGTCCTTAACTCCGCCCCCTACACCTGACTCATACCTACATGACAGTAGCGGCCATTTTATCGGAGATCAAAACTTCTCATTCAGGTACATCATCGCAATGATGAGAAAAGGAGAATAAAAGCATGAGGGATTTGAGTAGGAGCGCAAGAACGTACATTAGCGGGGTTACGTTTTAGTGAGGTCAACAAGCTTGTATCGATAAGCTAGGACCGAACGGCTTGTTAGCAGCAGGCGAATGGAGACTTCGACAAAATGGCCGCTAACAACACATCTCTAGTGTCGTCTGCCGTGGACCGGAAGTTGTTCCGAATAATCTGTTCCACTGTACAGAGGCTCATTGATTTTGGCTGTAATGTAATGAGAGTGTCAGCGGCGGGGCAGAGCTCCGTATTGTAGTGATGGCAGGTCCAGTGATGGTCTAGCAGTACCGGGAGATGTCCTCGGTGCAGAGTGCCCGGGGCCCTGTGCTGTGCTCCAGCTCCTGGCTCTGTCATGATGATGATCTCTTCTCTGTGCTCCATGTCACAGGCCCGGTCCAGCCTGATACCACCACTCCGGGGACCACAGCAAGGTGAGAGCAGCTTGTCATTGGATGGCCCCGCATCCCTGCTGTCCCTCCCCTGCACAGCTTACTCCCCAATACCCCTCCCTTGCAGAACTCTAATGCCCCTCCCCTGCACAACTGGCTTCCTACTGTTCCTCCCCTACAGAGCTAACACCTGCCCTGCCCAAAATTCTTCCCTTATAGAGCTGTCTCTCCCCAGAAAAGTTCTCTCCCCACTGTCCCTCCCCTGCCTAGTTCTTTCTCCGCTGCCCCTCCCCTGCCCCTCCCCCCCTGCCTAGTTCTCTCTCCGCTGCCCCTCCCCTGCGTAGTTCTCTTTCCCTGTCCCTCTCCTGTTTCCCTTTACTCTGTTTTTCTCCTGCAAGAGTCCTCTCTCCTCTATCCCTACCCTGAAGAGTTGTTTCCCCACTGTCCCACTCCTGCACAGCTGTCTCCCCTGCAGAGGTCTACCCAATGCTTCTTCCCAGCACAACTATCCCCCCACTGTTCCTCTCCTACGAAGCTAACACCTCCCCCTCCCCCCCCTCCCAATATTCTTCCCCTATAGGCCTATCTCCCCACTATCCCTCCTCAGCAAAGATGTCGCCCTTTTTTCCCTCCCCTACAGAGCTGTCTCCTCACTATCCTGCAGAACAAAGTCCCCCCCTCCACTCCAGTATTCCTTCCTTGCAAAGCCTTCCCCCACTGTCCCTCCCCTGCATAGTTCTCTCCTGGCTGTCACTCTCCAGCAAAGATATCTCCCTACTTCCCCCCACACAGCTGTCATCCCAATTTCTCCTCTCTACAGAACTGGCTTTCCACTGGTTTTCCTCTTGCAGAGCCCTCTCTCCTCCCCTACAGAATTGTCTCACCACTGTCCCTCCTCTGCAGAGCTGTCCCTTTTCCTAAGGTGAGAGCAGCCTATGGGTGGGTGGCCCTGGTTCCCTGCTGTCCCTCCTTTGCACAACTATCTCCCCACTGTCTCTCTCTTGAAAAGATGTTTTCCCACTGTTCCTCCCCTGCAGAGCTAAAGATGCCTCCCTATTCCCCCCTCCCCTCATTGCTGCCTTGCAAAACCTTTTCACTGTTTGTCCCCTACACAGTTCTCTTCACCGTCACTCAGCAAAGATTTCTCCGTGTTCTCATAGAGCTCTCTCCCCACTGTTCTGCCCCTGCTCAGCTGTCACCCCACTTTATCCCCTCTGCAGAGCTGGCTTCCCACTCTTCCTCTCATGCAGAGCCCTCTCTCTTCTGTCCCCCCCCCCCCGCAGAGCTGTTTCCCTACTGTCTCTCCCCTTCTGTAATGTTGCTCCCTTGCAGAACAGGCTCACCACTGTCCTTCATAGCTGGCGCCTCATTTTTATAAAAACAAGTGTTTATTGATGTAATTATTCACTTAGTGCAAATTAATTCTAAACTTTGTTTTCCTTCAGTAACAATTCTATTGAGCAATCGTATCGTTATGTATCTGGCAGCATGGCCCTTGTGGGCAGATCTGTCCTGCAGAGCTGAGCATCACATGGTATTATCTCTGCTAAGGGTACAAGAATAGCCGGCCACACTAAAGTCTGATTTACAGGTTATTTAAAGTGATCCTGGACCAGACAAGGTAGCAGTTCTGCTTCATAGCCTGCCCCACAGACAGCCTGTACTTACTTTCCTACAACCCCTGCCAGTCCACCCATTGCTGCATCCCCCAACATGTCCTGTGCAAGCTTTGGCTTGCAAGGTCCGTCTTGCTCAGGGTATACTTGTCTAGGTAGTTACATAGTTAGTCTGGCTGAAAAAAGACAAAAGTCCATCCAGTTCAACCAAAAAAAATAAAAAAAGTTATAAACCTATACCCACAGTTGATCCAGAGGAAGGCAAAAAAAAACCCAGCAAAGCATGATCCAGTTTGGCTCCTGCAGGGGAAAAATTTCCTTCCTGATCCCCCGAGAGGCAATCAGATATTTCCTGGATCAATGTTACCTATAAATGTTAGTATCCAGTTATATACTGTGTATCTAAGAAACAATCCAGGCCTTTTGTAAAGCAATCCACGGGTAAAGTAGAGGGTTGCATGAAAGCAGAACTCCAGGCCAATATAAAATACAAATCATTGCACTTCAAGTGTATTTTTTTTTTGCAAGTAATTAAAGTACCCAATTCTTACTTGCTATCAGCCTCTTGCAGCCCATTGACAGCAGAGCTCAGACTGGGAGTGATGCCACTGATCATCTCTGGCCTTTTGAAGGTGCAGTTTCCGGGACTTTCCTTCTTCTTCTTTTATCAGTACGTAGTGTGTCACTGACCTGGAACAAGCATGCGTTCATTAGATGATATACGATTAGGTTAGACGATACATGATATGTACATGCTTGGTACATGAGAGTGAATTCCATTGGGGATAATTGCTCTGGTGACAACTAAGAGTGGAATTACCTCACTATTAAAAAAAGTCCCTCCACTTCCTGTTGTATCTAAAGGACAGGAAGTGAAGTGGAATTTCTGTTAAAAATAATTTAAATTCCTTTCTGTTCATATTTATGGTGATAGGCTAGGTTCACACGGGAGTCAGAGGGGGCTGTAAAAACAGTTGCGTTATTACCATTTCCTGGCTGCCAATCTCAAAATGCCCTGCAGCTGAAAAAAGAAAAAACACAGGCAGTCATGAGGCAGCAGTATCACCTTCTGAAGACCTGCAACCCGCCTCTGAAGAGCGATTTATTGCGGTTTGTTTTCCAAAGGGTGTAAAGGGACAGCCACACGTGTGAATGAGGCCTTACTGTATGTGAAGGTTTTAATGCTTGCTTTGTGTTTTCTTTCAGGGAGGAGTGTGTGGTTTTGGAGCTTCAATGTCCCACAGGTGATGTTGTTCCCTGCACCCTGACCATCTCCTGTTTTGCACAAGAGACACACCATATACTGGACATCAGCTTATGCAGTGGAGCCAGAACCATAGAGGTTTACAGCATCTCTGCGGATGGTCAGGAGGAGGAATATTTGGGTACCAGTCGAGGAGAAAAATGTACCTTCAGAAGTTGTGGAGATGATGAGCCCTTTGCCTTGTACAGAGCATACTTGAAGTTCGATTTTCCTGTGCCCGCTTGTAAAGTCAAGGTACAACTTCAGGTGTCTGTCTACTGAAAGTGGTTCTAAAGCCAAAACTCTTTTTATCTTAATGCATTTCCTGCATTAAGGTAAAAAATGTTTTATAGCTTTCTGTCCTCCCCCTTCTCTGTGTGAAGGGAAAGAAAGGGAGAATAGATCCAGTGCTGTGCACAGCTGCTTCTCTTCTCCCCTTCCTTCCTCTTCACACAGGGACTCAAGTAGCGGCAGGAGCTATTGACTCCTGCTGCTGTCAATCAAATGGTGTGAATAGGTGTCGGCAGTGGGGCCAAGCATGGCTCCATAGACACACACAGCTCAGGAGTGAGCAAGCACTGTGTGCCCCCATAGCAAGCAGCTTGCTATGAGGGCAATAAAGAAGAGGAGGAGCCAAGATTACCGGCGGGGGACTCCAGAAGGAGGTTCGGGGCCACACTGCACAGAGCAGTTGAATATAAGGTGTCTTTTATTTTATTTAAAAAAAATACCTTTAGTAACACTTCAAAGCACACCTGTCATTAAAGGCATATTCCACATTTTGCAAAAAAACCTAGTAAATGCACCCACATTAATCAAACAAAAATAAATATGTGTATTATTTATTTTTTTTCATTTTAGCTTGCAATGCAATGCAACCACAATGAGTGGAAAATGAGTGCAATGCTCAGACTCCTGCAGACTGTTCCTCTAGTGAAGTGAAGCAAAAAGAGCGCATTACCTCAATAATTCAGTGATTTTATTTAATAAAATATATATACTCACAAACAAGGATGTAAAACAAGCATTACAGATCCTCAGAGGTACTGGGGAGTGTAGAGCCAATGTAAGTCATGTTACGACGGTAGACTTTCAAAGTGAGGCTGACGCGTTTCGAAGGGAGACCCTTCTTCATCAGAGCTCTCATCAGGTGGCAATTATAACTCGTTCACACAATATTGTTACTTATACAGACAACAGTAAAAAAGTTGAGAGGGTCCCAGCATGTCAAGCGGTTGGCTAGACATTTACATCAAAGATTTCTATGCAGATGTTTTATCATTACATTTAATCTTTTTTACTGTTATAGGGACTGTTTTTTTTTTTTCTTTGCAGCTACTTTCACTTGGAGAAAATCAAAGTGTCCTTGTGGGGGATATTGCAGTGCAAGTGACGTCCATTCCCGAGAGATGCTCCCAGACTCCATCTTTGTTGGGGACATCCATTAATCTGGAGCGTGTGCAGAGTATGATGGACAGCATGGGCGGGAAAATGTCACCTGGAGCCGAGCAGCTTATGAATATGGTGCGAGCACAGCAGAAGGTAAGTATCTGTGTACTGTTACCAGTGACTACAACCCTCCTAAACCTTTACAGCTGAACTCCAGGCACATATAAAAGATACCAACCAGTGGAGCTCTGTATTCACAAAACAATAAATTATTTTTTTTTTTTAAATGCAAGCTATAGAAATACCTTCATTTGGCCTGGTATCAACAAAGCTCAGACTGGGAGAGGGAGAAGCAATGCAGCAAGCATCTAATCCATTGAACTTCTGTGCTTATGTTCTAACAGGGACATGCTGATAGGAGGAGAGAGCATAGTGATAGTGAGATTGGACCATCAGCCTGTTCCTTCTCCTTCACTGTCCAGTCATGGCCAGGGAGTACCTGCATGTACCTCCTTTGCAGGGTGATACCTGCATGGGGACCACAGTGAATTTGTTGTTTTGATTAGATGTGCATGGAGTCTGCAGTTCCCTTCAGTTCATGTATTTTGTGCTTACAGAATCCGGCTCCATTTGGGTCTCACTTACTGCAACTGTTTGGCAGCTTCCAGCCTCATGCTTATCAGAACAAAGAGGGCCCTAAAGAAGAAACTCTCCAACTGACCAAAACGATTCCTAATACAAGGCTGGAAGCTGCACAGAGTCATCCCTCCTACCAACAACCATCGCCCACCGATGTCAAGTCTATGATGTCTTCATTTCTGCAGAACCAGCTGGGTCAGGCTGTCTCTCCTGACTCTGTTTTGCCTCTCCTGCAAAATCTTACTGTACAGAGGAACACTGATGGCGACAGTGGAGGAAAGTCATGTTCAATGCCAAGGTAGGCAACTTAGACACTCAAAAGAGAAAACATAAAGTGCTTCTAAAGGCTGAAGGTTTTTTATTTTTTTTCTTTAACCGCCTTCCGCCTTTCATATAAGGAAATGACAGGAGCGCCGGTTATCGGCATTTCTCTCCTCGCTCGTGAGGAGAGGCGAGCCGGTAATCGGCATTTCTCAGAGGGGACATCTACACTGATGATCAGTGTAGCCCCATCAGTGCCACCTGTCATTGACCATCAATGCCACCTGTCAGTGCTCATCTGAGCTGCCATTGACTGCCACCTATCAGTGCCAGTCAGTGCTGCCTATCAGTGCCGCCTGTCAGTGCCATATATGAGCACTGCCTTTCAGTGCCCATCAGTGATGCCTGTCAATGCCCATCAGTGCCACCTACCAGTGCCTCCTCATCAATGCCCATCACTGTAGCCTCATTAGCGCACATCAGTGAAGAAGAAAAATTACTCATTGTCAAAATTTTATAATAAAAACTAAGAAAAAACTTTTTTCTTTAAAAATTTTCAGTTGTTTTTGGTTTGTTTATCAAAAAATAAGAAACCCAGAGGTGATTAAATACCACCAAAAGAAAGCTCTATATGCCTGGGCAGGAAGGGGGTGAAAGTGCCCAGTAGACAAGTGGTTAAAGGAGAAATTCACCATTTAGAGTGGAACATGTAACATGTTTCATCTCCTGCCTCCTCTCCCCCGATTCCCCCCTCCCCTCGTGGGGGAGAAGATCCCCTGCCTGCGGCAGAATTTAAAAACAGTGTGGCCGTGCAGAGCTGTGCCCACGCAGAGTTCTGTGAATGAATGAACTACAAGTCCTGTCGGCTACAGCTGCTTGTGGCTTGTGGTTCTCAGTGTACTATGAGGGCGCTGGTGAGCGCTTTCATAGTTATTTGATTCTTCCTGCGATTCAGTAACTGTCTGTCTGTATGTTCTCTCCCTGCTCTGTTCCTCCTGGTAGGCTCAAAGGCAGCAGAGGGAGCCATTGATTAATGCTACTATCAATCACAGCCAGTAAGGGGGGGGGGGGGGGGGGCCATGCCATACTATGTGGGGTTGAATTGACAAAAAAAACTGGAAGCACTCTCCAGTTTTAGTAAACAAGCTGAAGCTAGAAGCTGATTGACTACCATGCACAGCTGCACCAGATTTTGCACTTTCAGTTTTAGTAAGTCAACCACTGTGTTCCTGTGGACACGCAGAGCCCTTGCCACCATAGCAAGAAGCTTGCTATGGTGAGCACTTGGTGGGGGGAAGCAACCAGGAGCGCTGTTGGGGACCCCAGAAGAGAGCAGGTATGTATAACATGCTTGCTATTTTTAAAAAGCCCAACTCAAGCCAAATATTTTACATTTGTTTTAGCTAAAGCGGGCAGAGGGTAGAACTTAGGTTAGGTTTCAGTTTTTCTAAAGACCTTGTTCACACCATTTGTGCATAAAAACTGATGGAAAAAACGCACATTTTTCACTTGCTGAGAGATGAGTTTACATCAGTTTTCAGCCTGTTTCAGTGAGTTTTATGCACGTTGACATCAGTTTTCATGTGCTTTTTATATGCACAGATAGACATCACACCCTGTCATGTCCTGTCATCGTTTTCTTATTTGCTCAATTGACACCACAATGTTGTCACGTCAGGTATTTTCCATGCAGAAAACTGCATACATGTTGCAGATTCCTGCACAGAATAAAATCTACGCATGATAATAGTGTTGTGGTGTTAATGAGGCACATAGAGGACAATTGTTTTCTTTGGGCCCTTGCATAACGCATGCAGAAAAACTCATGTTTCTGCACATGGCGTGAACGAGGCTTAAAGAACAGGTTTACCTTTTAACCAAAAATAATAAATGCACATTTTTTTTTTTGCAGGTAAAAAAAATGTGCATTTACTATTTTTTTGTTTTGGGTGCCTGTAAAGCATGGCTCCAGCAGATCACTGGTGCCATTTAGGACTCCTGCAGAACTGTCAGTGTATCTCTGTGTTCGTACCTTGTACGGGCAAGCAGATGCACACTGACAGGAAGAATCAGTAGACTACTACAGCACTCCACGCTGCCGTGGTAGTTCATTGAGGACTACAAGTCATCAGTTACAAAAGCTGTCGGAACTTGAAGTTTCCCATTCACAGAATACTGTCAATGAGTGACACATCCAGGTGGGTGGAGCCCTACCCAGCCACATCTTTTTAAAATTGTGACAGCTAGCTGGGGGAGAAGATCCCCTGCTAGCTGTCAAAGCAGGGTAGCGGGGGCCAGTCCTTTTGTAACATGTTACACCCTGAATATGCCCACAACCTTTCCTGCCCTACGCTACAGCAATCATATGTCCTGACATCATACAATGCAGGGCCCAGAGCTCGAAGTTGGATATGGGGACACCAAGCAATAGTCCACAAGCGGAGTGTAGATGCGAAGAGGAGACCACCAGCTGCTGGGGGAACAGAGGATCAGGTAAGCAAAAAATTTAAAAGAGGCCTACTCTTTACACTCCCATGATAGAAAATGCTGCTCAAAGGTCATAAGACAATATATCTTTTTGCGCATTTCATATCTGCTGTATATTTCCTGGGTTGTAACATTACGTTGACAAAATGTTTTACAATGGTATGTTTTGTATTGCCTGCTGTGATTTAACCCGTCTGCGACACGGGAAGCGCCATACAGTGATATGTCCGATCTTGGATTTCCATCTGTACATGTATCGTTATGAATGCTTTCTTCTAATAAAACTTTTTTGGAAAAAAAAAATAAGACGCCTCGTTCACACCATGTGCAGAGATCTGAGTTTTTCTGCACACGTTTGCAAGGGCACAAAGAAAACAATTGTTCTCTATGTGCCCTGTTCACACCACAACACTGTTATTATGTATGGATTTTTTCTGTGCAGGAATTTGCAACGTGTATATAACTCACTAGTGCATGCATACAAACTGATATAAACTTGTGGCTCTGCAAGTGAAATCTGCAGTTTTCCCATCAGTTTTTATGCCCGTATAGTGGAAACGAGTTGTACGAGTTACCATGGCAGCTAGTGGATACAAAGATTTCTCCTATAACCATAAATATATTAAATACATTCTTTTGGATTTTAGTACAGTTTTTGAGTTTACTTGGTATATTAGTAGCTCATTGTTTGTTTTCTACTTTTTGCCTGAAGTGTTTTTACTTTTCTTACAGAGAGAACAAGCTAGATCCAGCTTTAGAGAAAGTGCTGTCTGCTCACATGGAGCGTATGGAGATTAATCTTATGAAGCACATTGATCAGAGGATAACATGTTTACAGGAGCACCTGGACACCAGAATAGACCAGTTATTAGTATGTGTACTGGAGAGAGGCGGCAAGTCTAAACCACATCCTGGAACTACTGGAGACAAACTTGTCAACGGGCACATGGATTACACACATGACATACACTGACTGGCATTTAACGATTAAATCCGACTGACACTTAGTGGTCAGAGGATCAGGGTAATCCTTCGGTAAGATGGCTCTTGCTTGTACAGGAAAGTCCTACAGTGCGTACCTATTACCAAGGCTGCCACACGGTATCATCAAAAATCTATGCGGTTTAAACTTGTGATCCAAGTCCATGCGGTCCATTTTTTATTCTTCAGCTACACACCACGTCAGGGCTACATAATCTACTTGGCAATATAAACAAAGATGTAAATGGACTTGTCAGTTTTTAAGCTTTGGTTACGGTTTTAAGAAACAGCTGTTGGGTATCTTTTTATCCGTTAGTGATATCTACCTTTTTATTAATGGACTTGTTTGTTTAAATTGACCTTGCCACCTGGACTAAAAAAATGCCTGTTAAGAGTCCTTTATTACTTACTTGTCCCACTGCCCATGTCTCTGCTTTCCTGTGTATTTAAGAGATACCACTGGCCAAAGTTTTCTGAGAGTTTTGGTTACATGGTTCATTGCTACACTGTCTGTTTTCTTCTGTCAGTCCCCATGTCCCTTTTGCATCCTGCAGTGAGGTTTGGATCAGCAGGAGCCACAAAGTGCAAAGGGGCACCAAGCATGCCGCCAGCGGAAGTTCTTTCTGCACCTGACACTTCCAGGAGTGCTGGATACAGGAGACTCTTTACCAAGGGGTCTCTTGTGAAGACAGAGGAGAATGACTGGGCAGACAGCAGAACAGTAAGGCTCAGTTCACACTCGCCTGATTCCAAAGTTGCACGACTTTTCAACTTTCGAGTCTGACTTTGATACAACTTTGATGTGACTTTTTTCACTGTGGCATTCACAGGCAATTCATATCAAAGTTGGACCAAAGCAGTGCAGGAACCTTTTCTAAAGCCGAACTGACTTGTGTAATATCAGTTAAGATGGCTCTCATAGGGAAACATTGAGTTTCACATGTCGTCCGACTTGGGGTCTCACAAGTCGGATCCTATATTGCAGCAGTGTGAACCGAGACTTACGTATTAAATGGTTTGTTTTCCATGGAGCATGTTTTTTATATGCATGTCCAGGTGACAGGACTGCGTCACAGATCTTTATAATTATTAATTTATATAGGATGCTAACATTTTGCAGCACTGTACAGCTGGGCTATTGTACATTCTTTTTAGTCTGTACAGTCCATTCAAGTTAATAAAACAAACTGCACTGAGTCGTTTCTTGAATGATGTTTCCAGTGTACACGTAATGTGTTGTTACCGCTCCACATTCTTGCTGAAGCTTCTTTTTAGAATGTTGTTCTGGATTTAAATGAATTGCCCAATAGCCACCTAGATCTGTTGGAATTTGTTATAAAATTGTTTGCTGACTTTGTCTCTCTTTGCTGTCCCACTCTATCTTCTGCATTCTCTGTTATATAATATTAATGAAAAGTTAACAAGGAGAGTGAGATCCCTTTAATAAAGCCGTGTCAGTTTGGAGGAGCTGGAGAGGAAAAAGATCTTATAGCTAGCAGTACTGTCAGGTTGGCCAGTCTTCAACCAGTTGTTCATAAATGATAGCTAATAAAGACGTGATTTTCCATTGCTCCTGCATGATTCAGCTCTTCAGTTTCCCCCCAAACTACATTCCAGTTTTTTGTGAATTGGCCTTTTAAAGTGTACCTATTCATCATAATCCAGCAATACCATTGAGGAATTAAAGCCTGTCATTGGGAAATCAAAAATCAATTTTTTGCTTACCTGATCCTCTGTTCCCCCAGCAGCTGGTGGTCTCCTCTTCTCATCTACACTTGGCTTGTGGACTATTGCTTGGTGTCCCCATATCCAAATTAGAGCTCTGGGCCCTGCATTGTATGATGTCAGGACATATGATTGCTGTAGCGTAGGGCAGGAATGGTTGTGGGCACCGACCTTACAGCCTGAAAGGAGCTTGCAGGAGCCAGTAAGAAAAGGTGTTGTTTATAGTACTCTAAATGTAAATGAGCATTTTACCCTTGCAGTGTGGGGGAAGCCCCATTGCTTTCAATTATAACTGAAGGAATAACTTTTGGATAGCATGGAGAAGGATTAGAACACCTTTCAGTTTTTTATTGCTGTCTGTGCCCCCTTTAGGGAGATGTACTCTCTTTATTTGTCATGTTTGCAATTATAACCGAAAGCGAAAGTGAAACTCTAAAATTTTGGATTGTCACCGAAACAGAAATAAATAGGAAATCTCCCACTGGTGACCCCGGTGACAATCAGACATTTTCCTCACTTTAGAGTTTTTCTCTCACTTCCTGGTGTGCTGTGGGAAAGGAAGTGAAGGAAAATCGTCTCCCTTGCTCTATCCAAAATGAAAAATGTTTTGCCTTTAGTCCTAATTTAGGTATTGTTGCAGTCAAATGACAGGTACTCTTAAATTGTATTTGATGGCAGAAACCTTACTTGGGTGCATACCTGACATTATATCACTTAACGTATGTCATTTGTCTTGTAGCCAATAAAAAAACATGTTGCAAAGCCCTGCAGCAAGCATTTGTCTACATTTTGTGTTTTTCATGAGTTGTCATAATTATTAAAGAACACAGCTAAGAACAGTTTCATGTAAAATGGTCACATAACACTACCTATTATCACCCTTTTCGAAAACTTAGAAACCATTCTGCCTTATACTGCTCCCTTACATAGGGATTTTCAGTTCTGACTACTGTGGTGAGTAGATCTGTACCTTACATGTAATAGGAAGCCAAACTTCCAATACAACTGCCTTTTAAATGCCCAAACACCACCAGGAAGGGGCAGTAATGTGAACAAGTCCTAACAGAGCCAGGCCACTTTGTCAAAGTCTTCAGACATGTTTTTGTGTGCTTTTTCAAAAGTGTGCCTTTAAAGGGAAAACTGCCAGCTGTAAATGTATCGCAAGAAAACAGATAACTACTGTAAATATTAAAGGAGTTTTACCATATGTTTATGTCACAGTACGGTTGAGGTTTGATAAAAGCAGGCACTGCAGAAATCATGGATCTAAGCTGGGAGAGGTGATCAGAACAGAAGCTCTATAGGCAGCAATGCTGAGACCCTTACATGTATTGTGACTTAGACCAGCCATTCTCAACTAGGGTTCCTCCAGCCATTCCTTGAGCTGTCCCTAACTGACCTCCCACCTGATGGTTGCGGCATGGATACAGAGCCAAGAGCAGTTGGAAGTCCAGCAGCATAACACCAGTGATCTCTTAGGCCCTCATAAAAGGTTGCTTCCCCCCCCCCCCCCCCTCAATTAATTGGTTTTAGCAGGGGTCCCCCAAGACCTATGTGTTTCTTTTTAAGGATACCTCTGGGGTAATACTGTTGAGAAAGGCTGGCATAGATACATGCAAGAATTCATGGGTCAGTTGGTTTTACATTTGCTGAAATGATTCCCTCTACTTGAAAAATAGTAACTTTTGAAAAAAACCTACATAATTAAAATAAATGTACACCCTAGCTAGACAATGGGGGAGATTTACTAAAACTGGTGCACACAGAATCTGGTGCAGCTGTGCTTAGTAACCAATCAGCTTCCAGGTTTTATTGTCAAAGCTTAATTTAAGAAGCTAAAGTTAGAAGCGGATTGGTTACCATGCAGAGCTGCACCAGTTTTAGTAAATCCCACACATTGTTTAGCTTGCATCAGCTCTGTATATTATAAAACATTGGCTTTTTTCCCCACCCAATACTGTTTCCAGCTTTTTCTTCATTGTTTTTTGTATCACTGTTTGTATATGTGCAGCTGATCACTTCCATCCTCTTCCAGCCATGTCCTGTCTACATGCATGCTCTCCAGTGTCAGTTGGACATCATTGCTCTGGACTGCTTTCCTGATAGTGACAACAGTGCACCATGTCTGTACAATGTGTGTTGACACAGCTGCTTTTGATGTCTCCAAGAGGTGCTCAAGTTGTAACACGGTTGTCGCTCCATATCGGGCAGTGCCTGAACATTGACCTGCACGTGGACCACACTGCAGCCTCTGACTGCTAGTCTTGTGAGATTCAGTGATGTCATTACGGCCCTTTATCTTAGCCTGGGTTCACATATATCCTGTGCAAATCACATGCGATTTGTGTGCGGTGCGATTGGAGCCATACACTTTGTATGGCTCTAATTGCACCAAAAAGGTGCGGGACTCTTTTTTTTTTGGATCCGCACTAGAATTGGATCGCATGGGTATTCACACCTATGCGATCTGATTCTGCACATCGCACCGCGTTTCGCGGACCGCTTTCGGGGTGTTGTTAACATACACACCCACAGCAGTTTGCATGAACGGGGTGCGATTCTGATGCGGTGCAGAATTCGCACAGAAAACACTGAATTCTGCACCGCATCAGTGTGAACCCGGGCTTAAAGTAGTAAAGTCTGTTTTTTTTTTTTCTTTACCAAAAACGCTGTTTTTTTAACCTATAATAAGGCTTACCTGTATGTACTGTAAATATCTCCAAAACATGTAGGAGATATTTACCTGTGTAGAGCACCAGCGCATGTGCTTTGATGGAACAGCATGCCTATGCCGTTCCTTCAGAGCTGTGTGCTGTAAAAAAGTAACTCCTGCGCACATGCGGGAGAATGACGTCATTGCGACTTGGCCATCCAAGCTGCTAGCACTCGCCCACCCGGAAGAGAGACCGAGTGACGATGGAATCCCTTTCAGGGGTGACAGAACGCCACTGGAGGCCTTCACTTTAAGGTAAGTTTCACATAACATGCTATCATGCGATGCATACTAGCACATTATGACATTTCCTTGCAGGGGAAAACTATTTTTGGTAGCGTTTACGACCTGCGTTGTGAGCACTTCCCTGCTTCTGTTTTGTTCATTCTGTGGCTCTGTGCTTCTTCCACCTCTCCCGCTGTTTCTGGGAAATGTCCCCAGCAGTCAAAAACACCAGTCATCAAGGAGGCAGCTTTAAATGGATAATCGCCAATCACATCTAAGAGGTGCGGTGCGGTGTAGTGAACTGCAATAAAAATGCAGACGTAGTATTT